ACGTGAACACCTGCCATGTGCAGAAGGCACGTGAACACCTGCCATGTGCAGAAGGCATGTGAACACCTGCTATGTAGCACAGCCCAGGTGTTCCACGGCAGTCATGTGTGTGTAAGTCTGTGTCTGCACCCCCGTCTTACTAGAGAGAACATTGGCTGACTTCAGAAAGGACAACCACCTAGGATCTAGTGGGGTCACGCTGGGTTAGTGCTGAGCAGAGGCCTTTTGTTGGATTTTGAATTTTGCATCAGATGACTCTGTGTCTCTGTTCTAGATCCAATACTTATATTAAGACTAGCCTTAGTGGATGTTGGAGAGATGGCCGGTAAGAACATTTTCTGGGCAAACATGAAAGCCTAACTTCAGATCTTCAGCTACCTGTAAAAAGCCTGTCACCATCTGGCTCGCTTGCAAACCCAGGACTGTGGGGGGAGGAGACAGGAGGATCCCCAGGGCTTGCAAGTTCACTAGCCTAGCTCCAGGTTTGGTGACAGTATTTCAAGGGAATAAGGCAGATGGTAGCAGAGCAGGACACCTGACATTCTCCCTGTGCAGCCCCCCACCCCCACATACCTATACCACACACATACACTGTATATTTATTCTCACACACAAGTAAACAAGTAAGTAAATAAATATTAGCCTTAGCGATTTATCATTTGACCTTTAACGTGACCTGCCAGGGAGCTTGATCTCCACGCATTTGACAGAGAAAGGTGACATGATTTGTTTGGGGTGACAAAGCAGGGACTTGGATCCTGAGTGAGTGGCTCCCTGATGACGCTGTCCCTGGAGGGCTCTGCTGGAGAGGAGGAGCCGCAGGGCCCCGCCCACTGGCCTCAGGAAGGCGTGACCCTAGTGTCCTGGATCTGTGTCGCAGGTTTCACAGGCTGCGTTGGAGAACTTGCCCCATGGGCCTCAGCTCTGCAGGGGGGACGAAATAAAAATAGCCAGGGAGAGAGGCCAGTGGCTGGGCTGTGGACAGAGCGCATGCCTTTCGCATGACTCTCTTTGGCCTGCCCTGAGAGGTCCTGGGTGCCAGGCCCTACGCTGGGCCCCAGAAGGCAAAGCCCAGCGGGCAGGGCCCCGCCTACAGGGAGAGGCAAAAACTCCTGAGCCGCAGAAAGATTTGTGTGAGACCTCTCACCCGCTCCCTCCTCCCAACGTGAAAGCTTCCAGAAGAGTCACGTTGGAGAAAACAGTAGTCAGGCAGAGGTGCTGGGGCCTTCCAGGAAGTGGCTAAGGCTGAACAGAGTGACAAACGTGGCCCTGGAGAGGAAAGCCAGCGGCTGGGGCCACATGGGGCCAGTGGGCAGGCTGCATAGGTCCTGGCTGGGAGCCAAGAGTTTCAGGACTATGGGGCAGTGGGGAGCCAAGGGAGGTTAAGGTGCAGGGGGTGTGACATGACCGCATCATCCTAAGATCCAGTTATCTTAACCTCCACTGGATACCTCCCTTTTGCCACCTGAGTTCCTGGGGGTGGGAAAGGGAGAGGGTGGGGAGTGGGGGTGGGGGACAGGGTGGGGGGGTCGGTGTCATGATTCTGGGTACTTGCATGCTTTTTTTTTTTTTTTTTTTCAACACATACTTGTTCAGTGGTCAGCTTCTGAGGGCCTCAAGCTAAGATACCTTATCTTGGGCTCAGAAGGTCTCTGCAGGTCAGTGAAGGGGTCAGCAAGACAGACAATAGACTGAGCTACTTAAGAGGTGCAGAGTGGGGTCTCTGTAGCTATAGGAACCAGAGCCCGCCATCCTCTTACAAATGAGGCAGTGCAGGGCAGATGGAGATGCTGGGAAGGAGGCTGAGAAGCTTTCTTTGGCTCTGGGATCAGCCTTTGTTAGCTACGGAATGAACAGATAATTGTGAGCAGTGAATGAGAGAATATCAGGTGATGAGCAAATATCTCCTATGGACCCCAGTCACTAAGAGTGTGCAGGGTGTGTGTCTGGCAGGAATCTAGGCTTTAGTTCTGGAATGCTAGTTACTGAGAAAACTTGTCACTATATAACCAGAATGGAAGAACTTTTCAAATGGCAGGCATTTCTGACTCTTGTTTCCACGGAGAGGTGGAGAAGGAGGGCAGATGTCCATGCAGCTCCTTCCTGTTGGATGAGGTCAGCAACCTCCTCAGGAGGCTTTTGGGTCAGTTTACACATGGGCATTTGAAGGAGGAAGCTGTGAGAGGGAGAAGTCCTCCCACAATGGCCTCCAAGCCTTCTGATATCAGTCTAGTTGCTGAACATTCTCCCCGGGGAGAGTTGATTCTCTGAAATCACTCAGGAGAGGGATATTCCAGTCAGTATGACTGCGCCTGGTTGACAAAGGGGGAGTAGAGGCCTTTAGGGTCTCCATTCTTGCTGATTCACCTTCGATCAACGAAACCCTGACAGATGGCGTTAGATTGTCTCTGGACTACCTGAGTGTCGATGGACTGTAAATGAGAGCAGATAAAATTAAGACAGTAGTTGAGTACACGAGGTCCAGAGATTACTAGATCTAGGTTATAACATATTAAACCTATTTTTACTATGACATCCAGGTTTCCAGCTGTTCACCAATGGGCTGGTGGTGTTTAGTGGAGTTATTAGACCTTATGAAGCAAAGGAGATAAGCGCAGGATTATCGGAAATAATATGAACAGAGAGCAGTGTGTCAGGAAAAATAAGAGACTCTAACTTAATTATAGCTTGGGTGGCTGTGACTATTCCCACCCAGCATGTCAGCGGCCCATATGGAGGCCGGTAAAGCCTTTCCATTGTTCATTTGCTTTATATTGTTTTCAATTGCTTTAACTTTGGTTGTACTTTCCTGCTGGGTGTTTAAAACTGTGCAGGTGGCCAAAATCACTTCCCCTCTCCTATCAGGGCCAGCTGAGGGTCTGGGCTTGAGCGGAGCCTCTGCCTCGGGCCTTCCTGTTCCTGGTTGTTTCCTCTGTGTAAGGGTTAGTCAAGGCCCTGCTGGGCCATGGCTTTGATTGGAAACTCGGAGGAAAACGTCTCCTTGATGTTGGCCTTTCTCTTTGTAGAATGGGTACTAGTAAAGTCCACGTGGTGGAGGTCTCTGTGGTCTTCCTGAACAAGATGACGGGTAACTCAACAGGGCTAACCTGGGACCTACCTGATCTTGGGAGGTAAGGGGTAAAATGTCCATTTTAATTCCTCTGTCCATTTTAATTCCTCTGTCTACTTTAGTATAGGCCTCTGAATATAGTTGTTGAAACCCCAGAAAGTCAACTACACTCATCTCGTGCTTTTAACTACTGTGTAATGTAGAGATAAAGCTTAGATGGTGAATTTTAAGTAGAATAAATTTTGGGTTTTTTTTTTTTTTTGGAAATTTTTTTATTTGTTTGTTTTCTAGACAGGGTTTCTCTGTGTAGTCCTGGCTGCCCTGGAACTCACTCTGTAGACCAGGTTGGCCTTAAACTTGAAGAGATCTGCCTGCCTCTGCCTCCTGAGTGCTGGGATTAAAAGCATGTGCCACCAAGTCTGGCTACATTTTGTTTTTTGAGTCTGTACTTGTGTTACCAAGAACAGATCAATAACTTAAGAGAACTATTAATTTAAATAGAGTCTTGATTGAACTTTGACCTTAGCAAAGCTTTCACGATTTGTTTAGGTGTTCCAGCTTTCTTTTCTGTTCTGGAAAAACATCCAGCCGTCTCAAGAAAATGTCTAACCCCACAGGAATCATGGGGTCCAGTGTCCCCTCCTTAATCTGACATGGGAAATAAATGGACCTCATTACATGACAATAGAGACACCCAGGAAACATCTGTAAGTATAGAACCAGGCAGCTGGGGTGGAGGTGGGGTGGGAGGCTTAGATCAGCATGATGGAGTAGTGCCCATTGGGAGGAAGTGGTTTTTCAGTAAGTCAAGTGAGTCCAGAAATGTGACGAGAGGGCAGAAAAGCATCTCTGTGAGCCTCAGTTTACGTCTGGAAACGGGTGAACCCATAGATAAGCATAGTGAACAGTGAATGGGGTCCAGAAGAATCCAGATGCTTCTCGGGGTGAAAGGAAGGCAGAGCAGAGGTTCTGGTTAGGTCCAGAGCCCAAAAAGGAGGGACCAGAACCCCAGAAATAAGGTAAAGAGGCTGGTAAAGAGGAGAGTTAGAGCTCTGGGAGGGTGCCAGAATCCCCATGGTAGGACTAAACCTGGAGGGGCTCCCAGAACCTCAATAGAACATGAGGTTAGTGAGGAAAAAAGGGACCATGAGGGTGAGGGGAGGCACAGCTGTAGACAGATGGGCAGGAACTCTGAGGGGACAAAGGATAAACAGAAGAGTTAATGACAGAGCCGGTATCAGGGAGGGGGTGTCTATAGTAATTTAAATTTTTCCTTTAGAGGAGGCCGTCGGAAAAGCATCAGAGAATAAGTATAGATTTTGAGAGGGCTGTAGCAGATTTCTTTAAAGTTAATCACCTTTAATAGTTTTTGAGCTTTGGTCACAAAATGTTGTCCTAAACATGGAAGGGTAATAGATTGGCTATTTAAAAAGTATTAAGATAGTCCAGGACAATTTTGGCTTTGGACCTGTAACATTTTAACTCTCTACACTCATCATCGAAGTTTTGGTGACACAGATGTTGCTTGTTGATGGTTTAGCCTAACTGTAGCCTAGAAATGGTATATTTGCTATGAACATTGTAAATTGGTTGTGTTTTAAAGAAGCTAAGACAGAAGATGAAGGAGACAGGTGTCCTAACTTAGAAGGGTTTAAATATAGACGCCCCCCCCAAATGGTTTAATTAAGGTAGGGTGTCTGGGTAAACACACATTTATTTATTCATTTCAGAAAGATCTAAAATTGTTCTGACTTGTGGTCTTATCAGAATCAAGATCGGTAATTATTGTCACTAAGAAACAACCCGAAAAAGTTAAGTATCTTGTAAACATTGCAGGATTTACAGAGTATAAAGTACAGTCCTTTCTCTTTAGGCTGGAGGGAGTCACAATTTATTAGTAGCAATAAAGAATGTAAGTAAGGCTCCACATTGAGGGGAGTCCCCGAGTCCTCTCACCGAGACAGCAAGATGGCTGAAGATGGACTTACCATTTTTAGAAGGGCTGAGAATTCAGGACTTGCTTTGGTCTCAGAGTCTGGGGGAACTGCAGGTGGAGTTGGGGTGGGTGTTTTTTTCCCCCAGAAGGCAGGTCTGGTCCAGGAGCCCACTGTGGAAGGGGATTGCCACTGCAGAGTTGGCTGGGCTTGGTGGGTGGCGGTGGGTGAGTGTAGAGGATGGGAAAGCTGAAAGAAATGGGGAGGTTGGGCAAAGATGCTTTCAGAGGGGAGGTGAGTGCTGGACACAAGGACACAAGCCACCCACATACCAGAGTGGGAGAAGAAGTCAGAGCACTCAGAGAATCCGAGACTCCTTATCTGATTAGAACAGGGAATTTGGGTTAGGCATGTGAGGTTTTCCGATGAGAACAGTAATGGCTGGTTCCTAGGCTGACAACCCTGTGGGTGGGTACAGGCCTGACACCATACATAAAGGAAAGATGACTGAATCATAAGTGCCCTGCCATGCTGTGCTGGGAGGAACATAGAATTTTGCCAAAGAAAGAGAACCTGGGTGAACCCTGGAGAAGCTGGGACTGGGAGGGCAGGAAGGTGGGTTAGGAAGCAGGTTTTGCTAGGGAGGAAAGCGACGCAGGGCAGCTGCTGTTATGCAGCTGGCTCAGAAAAGAGCCTTTCTTGGAGGCATAGGTCTTCATGGCAGGCTTTGGAAAGCCACATACAGTTACAGAGAAGGCAGTTGTGTGGGGTGAGAAAGAATGCGAGCAGGGCAAATTAGGAGGACCAGGTCTAGGAGACTGATGGAGAAAAAGGACCCGAGGGGCAGAGCAGGGGAGCAGAAGGATGGAAGCAGGACCAGCCAGATAAAGGCTGGAATGCAGGCAAGTTTGGACCATATTCCACCGCGTTAATACAAGGTCCTTTTAAATCTGAAAGTCAAACATGTTGCCCTCTGACCAGTTGTAGCCATGAAGTATACTGTTGCCAGGACAGCTGAAATGGAAAGATTTGGTGGGGACATGCCCAAAAGCCTCTAGGCAGTTAGAGAATTGCTGGCCCATGGCTGTGAGGAGGGGTGAGGAAGGAAATTCTTCCAGGCAGAAAACAGGCCTAAAAGAAGAGATCTATCCTCTAACCAATGGTTTGGTTCAGCAAGACCTTCTGGAGAACAGAGATGTCTCTAATGGACCCCTCAAGGAAGACCACAGTTCCATCTAGGAGAAGCTTTCCATCCATTACTGGAGTTTCCGAGAAGTCTCCCTGGCAAATTTCAGAAAAAGAATTTCCAAGAAGGAAAGGAAATCTCAAAACTCACACAAAGTCAGAACAACTGATGGCAGGGTGTATAGATTGCAATAGAATGATTGTCCCTTTGAGTCACTCAAAGAGATAGGTGGGTACAAGAATCAGAGGGGGAAATGAGGGTGAGGGGAACAGAATCAGGGGACCCTTGTTGGAGAGCCTATGTGCCAACTCCCTGTACAGACAATCAAATGGAAGTTCAGCAAGAAGGAAAGAAAGACAAGGGAACCAGTGACTTCAAGCAGTGCAGACTTTAATTTGTGGGTAGGGGTGACTGCAAAGGGAGTGTGGTGGTTTGAATGAGAACAATCCTTCCACCAAAGGCTCATATATTTGAATACTTGGCCCCCAGTTGGTGGAACTGTTTGGGAAGGATTAGAAGGTGTGGCTTTGTTGAAGGAGATGTGTCACTAAGGGTGGGCTTTGAGATTTCAAAAGCCCCCACCATTCTCATTTTGCCTTCTGCTCCTACTTGTGAGTAAGGATGCAAGCTCTCAGCTACTGCTCTGGTGCCATGGCTGCCTACCTGCTGCCATGATTCCTGGCATGATGGCTGTGGACTCACTCTCTAAAACTGTAAGAAAACCCCCGAATAACTGCTTCCTTTTATAAGTTGCCTTGGTCACAGTGTTTTTGTCATGGCAATAGAAAGGTAACTAAGATGGGGGGAGCTTTAAGAATCAGAATGAGAGCCCATCATCTCCTTACAAACAAGGTAACTGAAGGGCAGACAGGGGAGCAGGGAAGGAGGCTGAAAAGCTTCCCCTTTGGGCTTGAGATTGGCCTTTGCTCCAAATGAACAAAGAATGATCATTGGTGAGTGAAGGACTGTCAGGCGATGGGTAAGCATCTCCTATGGCCAGTCATCATCAAGAGTCCTTAGGGAGTGTGTGGTAGGAATCTAGACTTTAGTGCTGGAATGCTGATTACTGTGGTTTCCAGGAATTGTCAGTATATAATGCAAATAGAAGCAACCAATCTTCGCAGACAGGCCTAGGTTCCAATCCTGCCTCTGTCACTTTCTTGCTTTATGCCTTTGAGCAACTTGCTGGTCTGTTTCAGAGTCTGCTCCCTCATCTTACAAAAGGTGAGGGCCCTAGGGATCCCTAAGCAGGCCAGAGAGTTGTTGGGTGCAAATCCCTTTCCACACTATAGGTTCTCAGGAAACCAGAGTGTTACATCACACAGAGAGCTGACTTAGCTCTGGCTCTCCTGCCTTCTCCAGTGCGGAGACCCAGGCTCTGCAGTCCCCTGAGCTGTCAGTCAGTCCTCCTAGGGACAAAAGAAGCTTGTTTTGTTTCCTGAATGCGAAGTACCAGCCGACTGACTGCTCTCTCCAAGCGGGCTCACTCCTAATAACACTTGGTGCTGTCCAGGGGACTGACATTTGGGAGAGGGCTTTTCTGCGCACCTCAAAATGAGGGGAAAGCACAGGGCCTGTGCCAGCCCACGGGGCAGTGAGGCCAGAAGGTTTCCAGGCAGAATCCGATGGTCTCTGGGATGCTGTGAATCAAGCCATCATTGGGTGTGGCTATGGCAACTATATGCAGTTTCTTTCTCAAGGCCAGGGCATCATGTGTCACTGCCGGTCTTTTGTTCCATTTCGACTTTGGAAATGAATGAGATAATAAATGCTGGTGGTTTTTGGTCTTAAATTGAGTGGATTTCCTGAAAATAAGGTTTGGTCCTCTTCTTGAGCATGCATTTAAAAATAATTCTATTACATTTTATGGATTTGCGGAGGGCACACAGCACAGTTGGAGAGTGGATGTCAGAGGATGACCTCTAAGAGGCAGCTCTCTCTTCCCATCAAAAGATCAAACTCAGGTCCTCAGGCTTGGCTGGTGGTGAGCGCCTTTACCTGCTGAGCGATGCCGAGGGGGCTCCAGGGTGTATTCTTTTTATCATGTCTTCAAAAGAGATGTGAAGTAGAGCCTTTGTATACTTCTCCCATGGTTTGCTTTTGTTTTCCAATAGAGCAACTAAGGAACACCCACTCCTCAGGGGCTGGGCACTGTTTAGTCACTAAGGGGAACAACTCGGTACTTTCTTCATCTTCTCCCCTGGGAATGTAGGATGAGTCTGTGCCGTGGCCCATTTCTCACCAGTGTGAACACTTGGGACAAGCCCGTGGAACAGGCGCCATGGTGTGAGCCTCATGAGTGCATTGCATTCTGGATGTGAGTAGCCCTGTGGAGAGAGGCCCTGTGGAGAGAGGCCCTAGTCAGGGAGAGGCCCTGTGGTGAGGCCCTGTGGAGAGGGGCCTAGTAAAGAGAGAGGCTCTGTGAGGAGAGAGGCCCTAGTCAGGGAGAAGCCCTGTGGTGAGGCCCTGTGGAGAGGGGCCTAGTAAAGAGAGAGGCTCTGTGGAGGAGAAAGGCTTTGTGTAGGGAGAAGCCCTGTGAAGGGGGAGAAGCCTTTGGAGACAGATGTTCAGGGAGAAATCCTGAACAAGATAGAAGTCCTATGAAGGGAGATGCCTTGTGGAAGGAGGAAGCCCTGTGAAGGGGAGCGGTGCCCCTGAGGAGAAAGACTCTATGTAGGGAGAGGTACTTTGGAAGGGGAAAAAATTCTCTGGATGAGAAAAATCCTGTGGAAAATAAACCCCCTGTGGAGGGGAGAGGCCCTGTGGAGGGAGAGGCCCTGTGGAGGGGAGAGGGTCTGTAGAGGGAGAGGGCCTGTGGAGGGGAGAGGCCTGTGGAGGGGAGAGGGTCTGTAGAGGGAGAGGCCCTGTGGAGGGGAGAGGGTCTGTAGAGGGAGAGGGCCTGTGGAGGGGAGAGGCCTGTGGAGGGGAGAGGGTCTGTGGAGGGAGAGG